CAGCATTCCAGTAATTACGCTACCAGATAAATTTGTCCCAGTTACCTCACAAAGGCTGTCTTCCTATTTTACTAATAACCACCAACTTTAATTAACACAATCAAAAAGTCAACAATACATAATCAAAGGCCTTCAGATGGAAGTTCTTTCCCATCACACCGTGTAATCCTGAAACCATGTAGTAAAATTCATCATTATCAACTACAGTTCATTTACGATAGCATTCTACAGGATTGTCAAAACCAGCTATGATTATAATCTTTATTCCATGCTTTCCCATTCTGTGAAATCCATATTATATGGTATTTAACATTTATTCTCAAAATAATTACTAACTTTGAAAAGTACAGATCAGATAATTTCATGCTATATGGCTGCTGAGAGAAAGAAAGAATTGGCAATTGGCTAGGAAGAAGTCCAAAAGTTTAGTTATTTTTTCATCATTTTTTCACTACAGATAACCAATCTATATCTTGAAACTTAGATTAACCTATGTAGTGCCCTTAGGCCTTAAAGTACCTTGTCAAAGGAGATTTTATTTCCTGTTTTTACTATATTCTTCAGTTCCCTAATTTGTATTCCAAATTCAATGCTTTCCTCCAAATGTGCATAAAGCACAAGGGTGTTTAATGATAGAAATGATAAAATCTACCTCAGTTGTAATTCTGTCTCTGACACAAACTAAGACATGACTGCAGGAATAAAATTATTGCATTTATTAAGCCACAAGTTTCTGATCTTAGCTGGTGTAAATCAGTTTAATTCTATCAACCCAATCAATGTTTCAGACCCACTATATCTATTTCAGATATGTAGCCTAGACTCTTACAACCTGCAAGCAATTGCTGTATAGAAGAAGCACAACCTATTACTAATCATATCATTATTAGCAACTGCACCACCATGATGTGAAAACAACAAAATAAAAGTGCCTCAAACTTGAAATCACTATTTTCATGAATTCTTTGCTTCCCTGACCTGTTTCACTGAGAGGGATATTTTATCAAACTGAAGCTCTGCATAAATATTGCATTTTTTCCCTCATTATTTGATGTCATTGAATCTTGCCAAATGGAATTAAAACAATATTAGGACTGAAAGAGAATGCCTATCTCTGCTCTCTTACTTTGATAGGATACAGCTACCAAGTTTTCTAAGAGCTGTGAACTCAAACTGAATGAAATAACTTTGTAGTGTGGCAATAGGATGTTTTAGATAAACCCGAATATGCCAGATATGTCCAGGACAGGCCAAGCTAGAGAGCACCTCTTGATTTAGATAGTTAGAGGCCAGACAAAGATGATGGAAATGTTGCATATTCCTTGTGAAGTTCAATCATTCCTCACCCAGCTTTTCAGCGTTAGGTCACAGGTAACAAAGCTGGAAGGCTAGTAACAGAAAGTTGAGCGATGAATAAATGATGACTGTGGACAGTCACATGCCTGAAAACATTTACTGTTATAGAGAGCACAGATAGGAGCAAATGCTCTTCAACAACTTCTTTGCTCTATTTTAATTACTGAGACAAAATTAAGTCAGGAGCAATATGGTTCAAGTTTCATAGTATCTCCAAACTCACCTGAAGAAGTATAAGGAAAAAGTACAGGCTTCTATCAGAAGTATGCATAAGTCACACAACAGCTGTTAGTTTAAATGGTATTAAAATGCAAAGCAACTGGAACTTAGCATTTGATGCACTTTCTCATGCTAAGAAATATTTTATTCTATGAGTGATCCTACTGGGATTGACACCAATAAAGGTATTGGAAGCTGGGTCACAATGAAGGAACAGAAGATAAAAAGAATAGTAATCCTATTTCAACAGCCAAGCAGATTAAGAAAAGAAAAAATACGTACTGATATTTAAATAATTTATTCAGGAGTGCTACTTCCTTAGGGAGGATCTTAAAACAGGCATGTTAGAAAAGGTGACTTTTAAGTTACTGTTACTACTAATAAAAATGATTCAGACACTACCCAAAACTGAATTACACACCCCTCAACACGCAGAGGTAGGTAGGTAGGTCCCTGCCCAGAAAGTTTACTATCCAAGTTCAGACAGGACAAGTGAGTGCAATTACGAATAAAGAGCAAAGAGATAAAATAGCATAAACAGCCTTGCACATAAAGGTTAATGAATTATCCCTCTTATTCCTATTTTTTAATGATAACATACTATATGCGCTGCACTTCATCACACCAGTTTCCCTCTTATAGATGTTACTACAGAAGGGAGCTTTTAGGCAGGCCTTCATAAAGTAGTACTTGAGCTGCAGAAAGAACCTTCTCCCACCTTTGGCCACTTCTTCCCTGAAAAAAAACACATGTGCATTGATAAGACTTTAGGAAATCAGGAACTTTCCTTACTGGTTCTGGTACTAGAAGGCAAAAGACTTATTGTTGCATGATAGAACAAGCAATCATTTCTCACCTGCTCTGCGATATGAGAGACAAATAAAAGTGAGCCTGGAAAAGAGACAAGGGCATGAATGAGGTCTATAAAGCTATGATATGGAGGAGGCAAATAGAAAGACTTGTTCATTGTCTCTTCCACACCACTAGCGGGTGGCATGAAATGAAGCTAGCAGTTCAAAACAACCAAAAGGAGATGGTTCTTCTCACAGTTGCATAATTACAACGTGCAACTGCTTGATAAAGGATGCTGTATGTACTAAAAGTGCATAAGAGTTCCAGAAAAGCTTTGACAAATTCATGGAAGAGAAAAGCTCCAAAATTTTTAAGGAGTTGAGAGTCATCACTTTATGGCTTGCTCCTTCCTACATAGGTCCCAAATAAGACTGAAGAAGTTAATCCAATTAAAGGGAAAAGTTTTTTATAAGAAGCTGACACGGAAGTGCTGACATCTAACAATGTTGCTGAGCTATGAGCTTTCCTGGTATTAGTAAACTTGCATTAAAGACTAAATAGGTGGAGTCCTACAAAAACTGGTTTGAACTGGTTTATGTTATCTTAGATGAAGCATTCCTAGCACAATGAGACTTCTTGTGGCACTAGCCAAGAAAGATGCAGTTGGGAACCTATGAATCAAGCAGCGGCTGCAGGAAGAGTGTCTTTTTGCTTCCGGAGGGCAGGCACACAGTCTTTCTATTTCCTGCCCAACTCCTGAGAGGGTGAGCAGCTTCCAGGGCTGCCACAATCAACTGAGAGGTGGACCGAGAGGACATACTTTGAGCCTTGCCAAGGTAAAGTGGGATACATAGGTGCCAAGAACATCTAAGGAACTCAGACAAGATGCATCATGATAAGGCATCAGTGAGTGGCTTGAGATGATGAGCTGGAAGCGGGATATATTTGAACCTGCAGTGAGTTCCACATGGATGAGCTCTTTGCTCCAAACAGCACATTATGCACTTCAGGGGATTGTGGTGGGGAGTACAGGATGGGGAGCGTGTCCTTTTTTCTCTTCCTCATATTACGTTCCACACACCTACCTAAGCATAATGTTTAACAGCCAAGTCATAAAGCCAACCTGCATCTATATTACGTCGCTGACTAATGGTACCTGACTGATTTTTCATCTATCCTTTAGTTTAATGATAAATTTACTAGTAATAAGACTACACTTAGAAGACATTCCTTATTTCTTTCACAGCAGAGAATGAATTGAGGACAACAGGTGGATTTCATGTTATTATACCTGTTCTCCCTCCTTTGCTAATCTCCTTTAAGGTTTGCCATTTTCTGATCTTCATTTCAAATCAAATTATTTCCCTGCCTAGGATCTCTCAGTGGCCTTTTTCTGGTATGATTAAAACTAAAATAAACATTTTTGATTACAGTACACTATTTTTGTCCACGGTTTGGGGAATATAAGACTAATTTTGGCCCTTTGTTGTTTGTGTACCAGTTCTACCATACTCAGTGAAATCTAGGTATACAGCTGAGAGCCAAAGACTGGCCCATAATTTACACAAAAAATTCTCCATAGAGTAAAACTGTACTGCACAACTGATGTAAATGTATTAGTAGAGTTTGCTCCCAATTCCAAAGCCCACGCACCAAAGAACTCATAAATTAAGAAAGCGTATAGTGATTCTGTGTTCTAGAAAGCTGATTAAATTTACTTAATTCCTTATTTTAAATTTGAAACATAACAGCAAATCCACAGATACAAAACCATATTTTATCATTTTAGATCAATCCCAAACTCAAATTTAATATGTTCAAGAATGCAGGAAAGGTCTTAAAATCAGTATTTCTATAAGCTGGTAAAACAGGCTTGAATAGACTTGAATTTGAATGTAGACTTACTTTGGAAAAGCATTTGGAATATTGCATTTATTAATTTATATAGTATGGTCAGAACTAAGTTGCATCACAGCAGGCATCTGAACAAGTTCAACTATTGATTAGGATTCAGACCTAATGAAACATCTCCGCACATTTACCTCAAAGTATACGAGTGGTTCCATTAATTCCGATGCTAGCACATTAGCTGGTGATTAAGTGATCACGTAGATCAGGCCTGATAAACATACATGGCTGATAAAGATCAAAATGAGTTTTCTTGATTATCCATATGATTTCAAAATATAAATTAAGCCTGCTCCTTGGTTCTTTCAAGTACAATCACTGAATAGCAAATCGGAGTAACTTTTATATGAAGTAAAAGAAACTTCAGTTCTGCAAAACATATGCTGTTGCGATTCACTAAAATCTCATTTGTTTGCCCATAAATTGCAGTGCTAAAGAAAAAAAAGCTTCTGTGTGTCAAGACCAAGAAGACAATATTTAAGAGATGCTCAGAGAACATCCTACTTCTCAAAATCTCAAATTGCAAACAAAAAGAATTCCAAAGGTATTTTCTTGAAATCTTGCTATCTTTAAGGAACTATTGATTCTTTAGGATTTAACTCATAAAACATCTAAATTATGCTATGACAATTATGATAATTTTTTTAAATGGATCAAGGTAACTCTTAGCTGAATCCCATGTTCCATTTTTAATTTGATTTGAACTGTGTTCTTATTTGCTTTAGATGTTTGCAGTATGGATTACTACTCTTTCTCTTCTTGATGTAGCCAGAGGTAAGACACATGACTGATAAAGACTATGAACAGTAAAAGTCGTTGTGTGCAGCTTACACCAGAATACCTATATTTAGAAAATGGATATGCTTTGGAAGGGCTTTCTTCATTATGATTAGAGTTCTGTAATGTGTTTGCCACATGTAACCTCTTTACTTCTGCGAAGGTTTCTGTAGCTCACAAACAGAATGGGAACTAGCAAAGTATTGCTATATAGGAATTGGCACTAAAATTCTCTTAGAACTGTTCCGCCCATTCACCCCCAAATAAATATTGCCACCAAACATTCACGTTAGCTACAACTTTTGTAGTGCCAGACGAGGCACTTACTCTTCGTAGCACTAGACAGAGAATTCGAAAGTGGTCCTGGTCCAGAACATCTCTTCACAGATATGAAAGAACAGATCAATAGAGACGGACACGGACACACAGAGAGAACACAGGGAAGCAGACACAATCCAAAAGTTCACTGTCATCAGTGGAAAGGCCCTTCAAAAATAACAGAATCATTTGTGGAGTCTTAAACTAAAGCTCTACAATTAAACCTTTTATTTGCCTAAATGTGTTTCTGCCTTTATTTTTATAGAGTTATGAATAAGGTAAGCCATGCTTAGTGGTATTCAAAATGACCTGGTTGCAACAGTTTCTCAATTGTTTCTCATTGTATTCAAAATGACCTGGTTGCAACAGTTTCTCATTGTTTTCAGGGTTTTTTTAATAGTAATAAAAATTATGTGGAGTTTCACAACTGTAGTGCTATAATAGTGGGTAAAGATGATATTTTAATGGCAACACTCATATGCCATATTTGCATCACTACTGTATTAAAGCCACAGTAGAAACTGGAAAACTTTAGTCTGTCAGGCGCAGACCACACTTCCCTACGCTATGCTTTGCTCTAGGCTTCCACTAAAATTCCACTTTATTGCTTCCACTACAATCTTATGATAAAAGGGTTAGGGAGATGTTTAATGTAAGATGTGGAGATACCAGCGGTATGTATTTTAATGCTTTGGTTTCTTTCTACTCCTTCATAAACTGTTGCGTGAGAAATAACAATTTAGATAATCCCAGAAACATTAGCTCTAAGTTGAAGGACCTCTCTGAGCCAACAGCAAAAAGTTGATTTGTTCTCAGGATATATACAGCGTCAAGACTTCATTGTCTTTTTCCAACAGCTACATTAACGGTATGTTTTACAAAACAAATCTTTCATTCCACTCTGTTCACCAAACAGACCTCTACAGTTTATCAGGAACAGAGATCTTCAGCCTCAGGTCCCTGCTATAGTCAGTGGGATGCTATCTCACGCCTTGTACATTCACAGTTCAGTTTCCATTTCCTTTCCATTGACTTGGATTGTTTGGGGCAGCCACAAAAGCCCAGCTGAGCCTCTTTAAAAAATGAATTGCAGCAGTAATTCTAATTTGAATCAGCTAATTTAACACTTCTTTGTAAGGTGGTGGCAGCCTAAGCTACCTTAATTTCCTAAACACTAACATTTTTCTCTGTGTTCCCCAGGAAGGCAAGTTTGCTACAAAAGGCTTGGATGCTTTACAGATAATCCACCCTGGTCTGGGATTCCGGAAAGACAACTGGCAGGCTTGCCTAGCCCTCCAGAAGCTGTGAATACCAATTTTCTCCTTTACACTAGAGAAAACATCATGAAATATCAAGTAAGAAACTGCTTTGTTTAAAACACTGATAGTACGCTATGCATTCAAGAAATAATACAGCTTGTTTTTTTCTTCCACATTTTTGCTCACAAGTCTCCCAGGAAAGGCTTCAAGTCTATCTTATACGCTCAATGAACAGTGCATGCCAATTTCCTTTTATCTCATTTTTCTTCATTTCAGCTACCTCACAAACCAGGTATATTTACAACATACTAATTATAGCCTTCAAATGCAACTCAGCTAAGGTTTTTTGGATACATTTTATATATTTCTCTATAATAAGCAAATGGCTCAAATTCCTTTTCAGGTCATATCATTATAATGCTAGAGCTAGGGAAGATACTGTAATAGAAAAGCTCAATTTTGGCTCCTCTGTATCTCCAAGCTAAAAACATATTTCAGGCCAAGACCCAGGCCTCAGGGATGTAGTTCATACACACAATCACTAGGTTCTCTCAACTACATATAGTTGCTCTCAGAAGCTCTGCTTATGTGATGAACAACAGTGAGCCCTAACAGCATACAGGTAGTAAGAAGGAAGATGAGAAGAGAAAATAATAATGTTCAGCAGAGAAGGAATGGAAAATGGGACAAAAAATTAAAGAAAGCTTAGAAAGGAAAAGCAATCCCAAAGAAAAAACACAGTACAGAACAAAACCATGTGTGGAAAAGGAAGGAAATAATAACCTAAAAAAAAGAGGCTGAATGGGGGTTAGATAGAGAAAGAAAAGAGGCAAATATTAAACAGGTTTTTCAAGAATTGGACTGAGAGAAAATGGAGACTAAAAAGCCAAAGAAAAAGCTATAGTAAGATATAGCGTAGCCTGGAGGTTTCTCTTGCAGAAATCAGAGCCGGGTTAGCTCTTCATGGAGACGCATCAGGTAGACAACAAGCTAAAGTGCAATTGGGGTGTATCTCAGAGCCGACTCTGCTGAAGTGCTGTAGAGAGAGCAGACTGGAGCCACATGGAACAAAAAAGAAAAAGGGAGAGGGTATCTACAACATCTGCAAATTAGTGGCAGTCAGAGGAAGCTACAGACTGTGACAGAGCAACACAGAGGAGTAGCTGAAAGGAGTTTAGCACTAAGCAGGCAGGAGTAAATGAGAATGTACCAAAAGACATGAGCAGAGTCTCAGTCCTTTCCTTTGAAGACCAGAGAGCCCTGGGAAGAGCTTACATCAGAATGACCACTTGACCTTCTTGAGATGCTGGAGGTGTATGGATTGAGCTAATCATTACTTCGCACAAAGTGGTGTTGTGGAACTGTAGATTACTTTGGTGACAGAAATAACCCATCAGAGAGTGTGAGTTTTACTTGGAAAAGAAGCGAGGAAAAATAAAGTAATTTAATGATATGGAAAATGAGGGGTTTAGGATTTGTCGTTGTTCGCTTATGACACATGAAAAAGGCTTTAAAGGCTTTTTTATATAAATGGTAGTCAGAAATACTGTAGATTTTAAATGATTTCTCCTTTTTATAAGTCACCTCAGAAAAGGTCATAATTAGCCCAACATCTCTTACAGAGACAGCCTATGATGTTTGTTGCCTCCTTTAATTTTAATCAAATTTCCACTGTAGGTAAGCTATGTGTTAATTAGTACATTACATTCCCTTTTGGCATACTGAATCATTTATGCTTTCCAAACCATAACAAAAGTAAATAAGAACCAAAGTTTTAAAACAAGATGGTATTCAGAATTTTGTTAAAGAAAATAATAACGCTATCCCTCTCAATAGACCCAGTAATACCTACAGTCTCTGATGTTATAAGTCTGGTGCTTTTTTCATGCTGTTTGAACTATCTTTAAGATAAAATATAAATACACTTCGAGATAAAGGTCTTGTCTTCGATGAAAAAAGAAAGAAAAATGAGAAAGAAAAAGAAAGAAAAATTCTAAGTCACCTGCACAATAAGTTGTAGATACTACTTTAGTATTTCTGTGACTAGTTTTGATAAATCCTCATACTTATGTGGTATGTTGTACCAGCAAATCTCAAAGCATTGTGCAAAAAGAATGCCAGTATCAGCAGTTCAATTAATAAATGGAGGAAGTGAATCATTTGTTGAAGTGATTAATTGATATCACCCAGCAAAGCAGTTTAGGAGTCAGGAGCAAGACTCACCTCTTCAGAGATGTCCCTATATGAAAGTGTTCACTGGTACAGAGCACTCACATTGTTTTGTTTTTTCTTCTTGACGCAGAAGATTTCTGCTACAAATCCTTCAACGATCAAAGCTTCAAATTTTCAAGCACACAGGAAAACTCGCTTCATTATACATGGTCATCTTGCTGGAGCAGACCTCTCCTGGATAACAGATATGTGCAGGGTATGGTGCGACTATTCTTTAACAGCCATTGCAATTGTATTTGAAATTTCAGATCTCCTTCCACCTCCATTAATTGGCTTATAATTCCCAGCTAAAATTTACACCTCTTTTTTCCTGTTAATTCTTGGAATATATGAGGAAAAAAACTCAGAAGCAAGTTCAGTTTCAGAGGACTGCCGTCTTGCTCTTAGGTGCAAGTATAGTGCACTTCAGCCTTTTGCTAAATGCCCTTTGCTGAATTCATCTTCGCAGTGAACGCTATAATTAATTGATTTTTTTCAATACTTTCACACACACAAAAAGACAAAAGTCACTTTTCCCACCTCAAGAAAAGGTCAAACTAAACATTTCAAACTGAGTGAGGTATTTGATATATTAAAAACAAATGCTTTATTCAGGCGATTGGTTACATTTTATTTAGGTACATTTCAAAAATGAAACTGTTTCAAAACGGAAAATCAAAATGTTCCCTGCCATAAGTGCCTAAACAGAATATTTTATTTTAAAAATATATATTTGGGGGCTGAACAATTCAACCACATCAACACAAATTTGTGAATCCTTTCAGATGATCCAAGCATAAAATTTTTGGAGAATAAAGGTTGGAGAGCAAAAAAAGAAGTTGTATTATCCTCTTTTTCTAACTGGGGTACTGAGATTAAGAGAAGCTCATTACCTAAAGTGAACCAAGATATCTGGCATGGAAAACAGAACAGAAACAAACTATTGCGTGTCTTTATATGAGTGTCCAAATCACTACCTCCTTTCTGCCTCCTTGTGTTGATTCTACAGTATTAGTAGGAATAAATATACTAAAGACATATCTTTACTAGGCATATAAACAGACAAAGCAGTTGTATATGGCATCATGTTACACTGCTACTTTTTGAAAAAGAAAATTAGGTAAGATTCAAGTTTCTAGGAGACTATTAGAAAAACACACTACTAAAAAAAAATCACCTTAGAATCAGTATAATTTTCCTTCAAAAATAATCACTGGTGAAATCCTGTTCATGTTACATACACCTATCTTCAGCTTATCCCTACTATTCACCACTGGTGTTCAACCTCACTGACAGGGATAACTACTCCATAGACTACTCCATAACAGTCTACTCAATAGACTTGCAGACTATTACCTATGAGTTGCTCCATAAGCTTCTGTAAAACCAGTGCCCAGAGAAGGGAGCAGGAGAGCAGGAGTAGAGCTCAAAAGTGACTTCTAACAGAAGCAGTCTGTCAGTTCTACAAATGTGGGATACAAACTGTGATAACTAAAGTGAGACCCTCTGTTCTAGTAAAATGAATTATTTGTGTATAAGCTAGAACAGTTGTAATTCATGCATGTTTTCTTCTCTTTTCCTGTTTTCACATTTACCAGTTCATGTTTCATGTTGAAGATGTGAACTGCATTTTGACTGACTGGAGAGGTGGTTCTAGTGGTTTGTACACTGAAGCGGTTAACAACGTCCGCATTGTCGGGGCTGAGCTGGTATATTTTGTGAACCTTCTTGAGGTAAAAGTAGCCGTGGGACATGAACATTGATGCGTAGTCTGTATGAGAAAGGACATACACAGGTGGCACTTTTACACTTGGTGCAATATATTCAGAAAGCACAGAGGTACTGAATACCACAGCTGATTGATAACATTATGAAAGGTCTCTAATCCTGCAGGAACTGAAGTGCCTACTTCAGTGTCAAACCACAGATAAGCACGTTGCTAAAGGCTAATAGCTCATGGTTTCTGAAAGTTCTGCTCAGGGCAAGCTTTTTACTGGCCAAGACACAGATTGGCAACTACCTAACCAAATCTGCAAGGCAAAGCAACCTCATAGAGGTCTAACATGATTAAAACTTCTCTCTGTGGGTTTCACATGCAGACCTCCTGCTAAAGCCGGAGCAGGGCAGAGGGAAGCGATTCTCCTGCAGCCACCTGGTGTCAGGCTTCCCCCATGGAAGTACAGCTGAGCCCAGTGCTGCCAGCACCACTCGCTGCACAACCCCTTCACATTTTGCATTGCATGCATTTCCCTGCATGATAGAAGGGAAAGAATAACACCTCACCTTGGTATGATGGTAACTTTATTTACACAGAGGGTATGCCACAGACAAAAGTCTGAAAACTTCTCCAGCATAGACCATTGTCCAGACCGGACAGCTAGCCTCAGGGGTGAGGGATACTGGCCAGGTATGAAGAGGCAGTGGGATCATTCACCTGCTTCCACTCTGATAAGAGGCAATACTATTTAATTATTTTAATGATGCTGATGTGATCTAATACCACCATGTCTTACAGTAGCATTAAGACCTTTGGTCAGTGCAATTTAGGGGAACTGCATGCAGGAATTCACCTTTATATCTTGCTGAGGGGTACAGACCTACTCCTGACAGATGTTACTCCCTTCTGGAGGGATAATGCCAGACAGGAAGGGATGAGCTGTGGATACAAAACCCCTACCCATGGCAGTAACTTTCTGCCCAGGAAAGTTTCGCTCCCCTCCATCACCTGCTCTGAGACAGGACACATAGGACTCAGGGACAGTTCGGTCATGACCTAGTGGAGCATGAGGCCTTGATACAGTGCCTCACTCAGTCTTGTATCTCCAATTTAGCATGCTTTTTTTT